TGGCATCGGTTACATTGGCTGCCTGTGCAGCTCTCTGCTATGAACCAGTATTTGCAGACTCAGTTCCTAAGATGCACAGGTCTCACTTTGAATCTGAACTTCCTTCTTAAAATTTTCTCCTCCCAGCACTGCAGAGTTTTCCCTGGGCTGATCTGCAGCACAAGCAGCTCTCTGATGGTAATTGACAGTGATCTTTGTCAACCCACACAGGATCAGGCATTAAGAGAATAACTCTTCCTAGATCACAGGTTTATTCACCACTTAAATGAAATTTTGTGTTTCTTAAATATTCTATATACAGGATTTATTATTATACTGTTATTGTTATTGTTATGGCCATTATTATTAATTATTATTATAAAGAGCTATTGATGTATTGACCTGCACAGCTTGTTATTTCAGAAAGAAGTTGTTGTCACACAGAAAAATTATTTCTGGAGAATTTTGTTTTCATTATTTACTTTCCTAGAAGTTTGCTATTGACTCAATCCAAATAGACCTCTGTGGCTAATAACCACATTTTAAAGGCTGTTCTTAATTCTGAAGGAAAATTTCTACCTGGTTATCATCTATGTAACAATTATCCAGGTGCTATGTGGCCACCAGTCCTTGCTGTTAAATTCATTGTAAAATTTGAAGTTCTTCTTGCTAAATCCCTCTTCCACATTTTTCATATTACAGCCTTAGTCTTGTTCCACAGCTGGGAAAAACAAATGTCTTGAGGTAGAGTAAGACTATTGTCCTTCTCTGTGTTCAAACATGCATAGATGGTGGTCCAGATGAATATTGTGCTACGTGTCCATAACCTGAAAGCAAGTGTGGAAACTAGCGCCCTTCAAAAGACACTTCACAGAATCACAGAATATGCTGAGTTGGAAGGGACCCACAAGGATCATCCAAGTCAAACTCCTGGCCCTGCACAGGACAACCCCAAGAATCACAGCAATCCCTGAGAGCACTGTCACAAGAGAGGAGAGATTAGTGCCTGCCCTTCCTCTTCCCCTCAGGAGGAAACTGAAACTGCAATGAGGTCTCACCTCAGTCTCCTCCAGGCTGAACAGACCAAGTGACCTCAGCCACTCCTCATACAGCTTTCCCTCAAGGCCCTTCACCATCCTTGCTCCCCTCCTTTGAATACTCTCTAATAGTTTAATATCTCACATTGTGACAATAGTTTAATGTAATATAGGGATGAGAGTTGTTATTCCAGATTATTTCAAGGAAATGAGCTGTGGATTTTAAGAGGCAAAAGACAGCAGTTTTCAGGATTACTATTTTCTTTTCTAGAGACCTTTTGTCACAATTTAATGTAACTTTCAAATTATGTCACATTTCGAGGTTTAAATGTAACAAAACTACTCTTTCTGATGGCTTGACATGAGAAGTCTGAGATCAGAGATATTATGTAAAAAATGATTATGTTGATTAGTTATGTATATTGTTTTGAATTCTTTTGTGGATTGATTCAAACTGTCCTGAACATTCACCACATACTGATCATTATACAGGTAGCTAAAATTAGTTTGTGTGTTAGAGTGGCCATTTTTGCCTTATACACATTTGAAGCATTCCATGTTTATGTTTTGTTCCTCAGTTCTTCGGTTCCATATTGCTCTTCTCTAATCTTTCTTAAATCTTTGGAATCAATGTTGAGGAAGGCCAGAGAGAGGGAAGAAGAAAAATATGAATTGTAAATATAAATTCAGTTGAAGTGGTGCATCAGACATGTATTGAGATAGCTCCAGAAATGAATATATTACATTTATTTTAATTATTTTTCTTATTTGGCTTCACAGATTTGGACTGTAGTGGACTTTAATGACCAATACAGAGGTGAATGACATATGTTTCAATTTTTATTTAGATTTATCTAAGCAGTGAGGACCCAAACTATCACAAATAATCATCTGTGTTACTGTCCAGGTATATCCTAGTGGGCAGTGTTATTACTGAGAAATGTTATGGAAATAACTCTTCCTACTGAAGAAGTAGAACTATGTCATTGTTCATCATTATTGAAGATCAGTATATTTTACATAGCAATTCAGAAAATTCAGAAAAATCAATGGGAAATTAGTAGTGAAAAGATCTTGATATTAACCAGCATTTTATACTTTTCTCCTGTTTGCTTCCAAGTCTTAATGATGGATAGATGCAATGTAGAATTGCCCGTAAAGGTTTTCAAAATTGAGGTTGGTACCAAAGACCGTTTTTTTGTGATTCACAGGTCGGAATTCAGCCCAAATATAAGGGCTTATTTTTCTAGGAAAATGGGTCTACTCTTAATGGGCTTGTGTAACGTGCTGTGGAAGATCTCTGTTGGACTGATATGGGGGCATGGCAGCAGACATTGAAACTGGAACTCCTGCTGAACCAGGCAAAGATGAGGACATCTCTGAAATTTCCTGTGCAGTAGCTCCCCATACCTCAGAAACTGAGCATCTTCATAATATCTTCAGATACTGATAGTTTTATTACTTATTTCTGTGTTTTATGCCCTGTCAACAGAGAACTTGACTAGTTAATTCTGAATGAGGCAAAAGCTACAGAAAAACAGAAGATCCTCTACATAAACTCCTATAGGCATAAACATTATTTATAATGTGTCATTCCTATTTAACTGAGGGAAGTAAGTGCTAATAAATTCCCAAAATAGAGAGATTAGAAATGTGATTTAGCACAGTCAGGGATGATAGTTATTCATCAGAAATACCTATTAATTTTTTTCTATTTATTTTCCTTCATTTTTCATTGACATAGTTTCTTAAGATGCTTTTGATATTGATAGCTCAGGGAGGAGAAAATGCATGCACTAATGACTCGGAAGAGTTCTGCCATTTGAATTTGCTAGAGATTTTATTAAATAGCACCATAGCTCAGGACAAGCTGATGGCATTTCACAGCCTATTTCCCCATATTCCCTAAATGCTGATTTACTGAGAATGAAATGAGTGTACACATACTCTGGAGCATGTGTTAAAGCTGTGCTAAACATTTTCTATGTAACTTCCAGCTGGCAACATTTTTCCAGAAAGCCTGGTACTAAGAAATGATAAATAAATAAAACAAACAGAATCTTGTGTTATAGTAAGGAGACAATGGAACAGCTGCAGAGCATGGAGTAAATTCAGTTTGACTTGATGTAGACACAGTGGCTGGATTTTACCCAGGAGATATCAGCAACATTCAGATTCTTAAGGCGAAGATTGAGAAGAGGGAAGAAGGGATCTCATTGGGAGGTCTCTTAGCACATTTGGAAAAATAAACAGAGAAACTATGAAAAATAATATTTAAGCAGCAAAATCAGCATAAGCTGTCCTCCTGCAGTATGTTGAAGCAACATGAACTTGTCTTGGGAAGGAAAAATAGTGAGAAGAGCTCTGTTTTCTTTTGTTTGGAGAGATAAGAAGAAGATGGAAGGGGCTGTAACTTGGGAAGGCATAAAATGAAGAAAAGAGAAATAATGAAGATAAGGAAAGCAAAAGCAAAGATGGCGGATCAAGTGTTCTTCTAAAGGGTGATGCTAATTAAAGAAAAGAAGACACCCACAAGCTTTTTAAATTATATTTACAAAGGCAAAAGTATTATATAACACATAGGCTTCTGTCATAAAAAGCACTTTCAGTTCAAACAAATTTTGAGAGCAGTTCCTCAGCACCAGTAGTGGTAATTAGAAGTGCAATAGCAAAAACTACAGTATGTGAGATATTTATGTCTGTTTTGCTTAACCTTTAGTGGGTGGACTGTCTTTTACTTCAACTTATATATTAGTGTACATTGAATGCTCTTTGCTGAACATGGCATAGTAATATTACTGAGGCTTGTTTTGTTGGTGTTCTCTTGTTATTGAAGGTAAAATCCTGGGGGTTTTCTCATACAAGGTAGTTCTATAAAATAAAGATGAACACCCTGATATTTATTTATGCTTTAGGCATCCACATTTGGAAGCAATGACCTGTGTAGGAAACAATTTCTGTGGTGAAACTGGAAACCAGGATCAGACTTAATAACTATTCATCAAGCAGGTAAACCACATTCCTGTATGTTGATTTCCTGTTATTCAACTGGTAGGCAGAACTTTCTGAGATGGAAGTTGTGGTAGTTTAAGAGAAAGTAAAATGGGGTCACATTAATCATGGCCTCTGACGTTTTCACTCAAGTGCATGAAGGAGGCTGAGCAAGAATTTCTGACATAACCATCACTCTGACTTTGGCTCGAGTGGGTTGTCATGATCAAATGACTTCTTTTGCCTGGTATGTGCTCTTCTGCTTTTTACATCCTTGATATCCCAGTTTATACATGTGCACATGCTGTCTTCCTCCAGGACACCACAACCCATAGTGATAATTGCACTGCTGAAGCTACCCGCTGTGTTAAAGGTCAGCAGAAGGGCCTCAGCGGTGAAGTGGCACTTGCCTATCAAAATGCAAAATACTGGGGTGAAAGAAGTAAAACTCAGCTATTATATGTTACAAAACTTGAGACATTCAAAGTCGAGTATATCATTCTCATGTTCCAATACCCAGAGAAGAATGTCACAGCATGACTCCATCCTCGTGATGGAGACTGAAAGAAGAATGAAAAATAATGCAAAGTTATCTCCTTTTTGTTAAATCTATTGTAATCTTGTGTTCTTCCTCTGTTACTACACTGCAATAAAGACATTTTAATCCCAGGGTACAACTGAGAAAAGCCCTGATCTAATAATTGTAAAACCTCCCGATCCGATATTTTAGAACTCAGAGTACTTGTCACTTATGAATATTCATACAGACCACTAAAAGAATTATATTCTGTCTGCAGTTAAGGCAGGAAAAGAACATGGTAAATTCTAAAGAGACAGCAGTATTTTATGGAACACTTGTCAAATATTAAGGGCATCCACAACAAAATTCTTGCAGGAAAATTGTTCAGGAGGAGTGTATAGAATAGTGATAACATCATTATGGAATAGATCTTTTAGAGGCAAAAAAAAAAACCACAGGAATTCTTTTCAAGTATTAGAAACATTGGAATTCTTCAAGGTAACCTGTTAATGTGCATGTTCATGAGGGAGGATCCATGCTTCTCAGCTAAGACATTGAATGTAAAAGGCTCATACAAACTTTGCAAAATAAACTAGAAAACCAAATTGAACACTTTTTTTTTTTTTTTAATGGAACACAAGTTTTTAATTGAAGAAGAAATTTGCCCCCAGAAAGCAAACCCATTTTACAACATTTTACAGTGAAGGTTAGTTAAAAATGTGCAATATTTTGCAGTGGTTCATATCTCTTCTTTTGTGATTAAGTTAACTGCAGAATTTCTTCATAGTAAATTATTAAATGTTTAACAAGATTCTTTTCCAGTGCCTTCTGACAAGTCAGTGTTTATATATAAAAAGGTCTAATCTCATCCTGGCAAGAAATGGACTTGTTCTCGCAGCAGATGTACTAACCCAAGAAGATACTTAGCAAGCTGGTTTGGTGGACTGATTTTCATCTGAAAAGTGGGAGACTTCTTGTGCTTACAATATTCCTGGAAGAAATGAAAGTGGTGTTTTATGAATTCTTCCATTAGTAAACAACTTAAAAATAAAGGTAAGGTAATGTTGAGACCTCTAAAACCAGAGGCTGATGGTGGTGTACCGGCTACCATGGTGATGCTGAAAGGAAGGGAATGCTCTCACTTCCTCTCTGTCATTTCTCTTCCTTTCATCCCTTTGACCCTTCCTCCTGGCCAGACAGTGATCCCCACCTTCTATGATTGTCCCTCTGAATCTACATTGGTGGGGTTTCTTCCTCCACTTCTCATTCATACACCAGGTATCCCTGCTTGCCGTGTATCCTTTGTGTGCATAATACTCTATTCTTTCATTGACTAAATGAAATCAGATTCCTGCTCCCATGTGATGTCACATGTCCCTGCTCAGCCAGTCCCACCCAGGACCATCAGCAGGTGCAGACGCTTTTCTGCTTAGCTGAGTCTACAATCTGAGCTGCTGAACTTTCTAGACTTATGGGAATGGAGTATGCAACTCATCTTTCAGGTAAACATCTCAATTCTTAGAAAAAAAAATTAGAACTATATAGAGATAAAAAAATAACTTTAAGAAAAAATTATTATGAGCTTGATGTTTTACCAAGACATTACAAGTATCCTGGAAGAAAGACTTCTTGGGAGTTTTGTGAGAGGAGCTAAAGCATGGGAAAAAAAAATTTCTCCTCTCTGTCACCAAGAGGTACCAAGAGTTTCCTTTTCTGGAATTATCTAAGTAGACATTTTACTTTGTGTTCAGTCCCTGCTGCTTTTTATACCCACTAGTTCATTGTACTTCAGTGTGTTTTGTATCTTTTGCTTATCCACAGAGGGCCTTGAATTTAAGAAATTTTAATTCTGTCCTTCATCTGAAGATCTGTGATTGTTGAAGGAATGCCTCTGGTTATTTGCCCTGATTTTTCCTAAAAGTATCCATGATGAGTTTGCTTTTATGTTGGTGTATACCAGACCCTGTCTCCATAACTACACTTTCCCTGGGACATCAGTCCTGAAGATATTCACAGACAGTAAAATTTGCTTTTTGTGAGGCTATGAGTGCTTTAATCTATGCCACATGTGCGTCTTCATGACTCAGGTGCAGAGAATCATATCCTGTCTTGAGTCAAACCCATGAAAACTCATTGAAACCAATGGAGATGCACAGGGAGGAGTGAATAAAGAGTATTTAGCTCAAAAATGGTGGGCACTCATCTGTAATTTTATTAATCTATTGATAGAGTCATCCTATGTTCCAACACTTCCTATAATATGTTGTAATTGTGCTGCACTGTGAGCAAAGGTGGGTCGTGTGTTTAAAAATGACATTTGCTTTACCATTCTACCTAAACTGTGGATAATGTTTTAATAAATGGTGTTTTTTAAAAGAAATATATTATTTGATAAAATTATTACATAAAATGAATTCCATCAAATTGTCACAGTTGTTACATGCTTAAAAAGCTTCTGCTCCTCTATTATTAAGTGGTAAAAGATTATAATTTGAAAAAAATGAATACTAAAATGACTGATTTTAAAAAGTATGTTTCAATAAAATTCACCATAAAAAATTCAAAGCAAAATGTAAAAAAAAAAGATTTTCTTTATAATTTTAAATCCACACATTTAAAAATATTTCAGTGAACAAATTAATGTTGCAATAGAAGGTACATCACATGTGGTATGTGCTCCTCTGCTTCCAGCACTCTTTCATTGACTTATACGATAATTCATCAGTCCATACTTACACCATATTTACTTCTTTACTATAATAGATACAGTATTTGCTCTGTAAACATGGATGCAAGTGGAAAGGAAGTCGTGGTCATAGAAGGAAAGATTAAGTACCATTCAAACTGTCTTAGTCAAGGTCATTTTTTGGAGGGGTGTATATAGTTCCATCCTTGATTTTTTTTTTTTTTCCAGTCATGTAATCCATAATTGCATAACAGTGTTTTTCTAACATGACTGTTCCTTGACACGAATTTAACCATAATGGTCACTCCTTTTTTAACTCAGACCAACACAAGAGTGAAAACTACAGAAACTATTTTTTTTTCTTGCTCAGGTTAAAATAAAATAAACAAATAGTTAGCTAATGGTCAAACATTCAAAAGATAATTGTAGGAAAAATGGAGAATAAAAGCCTTTGAAAGAGTTTCAGATTAAGGATCTGCACTACTGAAAGAAAGAAAGAAAGAAAGAAAGTGAAAGAAATTTTTCTTACTTATTAAATCAGTAACATTGTCAATTGAATAGAAAATAGAAATTAACTAAATAAGTAAACTACAGAAAATAAGAAACAAAGAACAGCCTTACAATGACCCAAAGAATATAAAGATTGTACTAATTCTTGAATACTTAATAAATTAAAAGAAAGCAAGCGTAAAGCCATAGAAAGTTAGACCCTGCATATTTAGTTTTTGTTCCTGGTATGGTAAGGTTACTTCTATTAAACAAACAAAAAACCCACAAGCAAACAAAAGAAGCCAGATATTATCCTGATCCTGGGATGTCAACATCCCTGTGCCAGGTGTCTTTCATTCCATCCAGATCAGAATTCAGATGATCTTTTTGCACCTTCACTTGGCATTTGCTCCTGCAAGAGATCACATAAGGGCTTCAGTGTGCTCATTCCATTGCTTGAACAAGAAGGACCCTGCTACAAAACAAGACCTCAGGAGTAACCAGTTAGGGGAGTGAGTTATTCTAACCTGGGCTGCTGTGCCACCACTACAATGCTATCTCCAGCACCATCATCACAGAAACTTAGCCACACTTCTTTCTTCAGTCCCTGGGTGAACTGATTACACCAGACCCCGGTCAAAAGCAACATTTAACTCAAATTGCATATTTTTGTGCTTTAACAGAAGCCAAGCAAGAGTTAAATTTCAAAATGCATTCCAAGCTAAAACTGGAAAAGGATCTTAACATTGAAGTCTTGAGGATATTGAGTCTATAGATAACAAATCAAAATGTAGGATACCATGGCAATCCATTCCAAAAGAAGTTGATCTTCAGCTCCATAAAGCACAGTAGATTTAAATTTTGTAACAAAATAGGCAGCCTGAGGTCTCAATCTTACCACAGAACATATGAGTAGGTCAGGTACCACCACTGGAAACCAGGCCTGAGCCCAGGAGAGAAAGAGACACATCAAAGTGTACAGCCCAGCTTCTAGGAAGTGAAAAAAAGCACAACAATATCAGTATGTGTGTGTGTGTGTTGCAACTTTTAGAAGATCGTGTGTTGTGAGGTGCCTCAGGGAGGCAAAGATTTAGTTTCAGATAAGCATTGTTAATGTGAGAGGCATGGCTGTAAGCCAAGCTAGTGGGAATTTTGACCTCCTGTGTTGGAGGATGGGCATTGTGAGCCCTGGATGAAGTTACCCCATCCCAGACCTCTTGGGAGGAGCAGCCCAGGGTTCTGACTGGGTTTGAGTCCCTGGGGGTTTCTCCCTTGTTGTGTTTCTAGTGGTCCCTAACCCTAAACTCCACCCTCAAAGGTGGAGACACTCAAGGGTTCTGTCCCTCAAAACCCCTCACCCTTCCTTTGCTTGGAGCTCTCTGTCTTTGAATGACAGTTTGTTCCCATGCTGAATAAATGGTTTCATGAACAGAGGCCTGTCTCATTGGTATTCCATGCTGGTTCCCAGAAACTGCATCTTCCCTGGACATGATCCTGCAGTTGTGGACTGCAACAATCATGGAATGCAGCCTGGTACCTGACAACGTTTTGCTGATGAAGCTGGCTGTAATTTCCATCACAACTCTTTAACCATCTCATTCTGGCAACATCACAGGAAACTTAGTGACAATGCATGAAGGTGCCACTGCTCTGTTGATACGGAAATTACCTGTTGCCTTCCAAGGATAAAATCAACTTGACTGGGGAGGAGGGGCAACTGAGCATTTAATTACAGTGTAAAATAAAATAATACTCCAACACAGGTAACAACATATTTTGTGCTCCTACAGTGTCGCTGAGCTGTTTGAATAATTCTTTTTCCTCTTCTTTCCCTAAATGAAAAATAGCATTTTAGGATTTCCACCTTCACACCTGAAATGTAAAGATCTAGAAAAAACTTCAGGCAGTCACTCCCTCTCAGATTTGTCTGATATTTATTGAAGTAATAATAATAAAAAAAAGTGCTTAGTCTGCCTGTTTATTTTCTTTTAGAAATAAACAAAAACAAAATTTCAAAATGAAAACTTAAAAGCATATGTTTTGTAAGGAGTAAAATTTGTTTAAATATATCTGAATTTTCCTTTTGTTTTCTCCCCTAGAACTACTTAACAAATTTCTTTCAAATTCATAAATCCTAAAGTAGCTTTTTAAAAATAATTGCTACTTCACTGCTTGTATTAACAGTAGTTATTGATCATAAAAATATCAGATTTGTATATGCAGACTAGGTGCTCATCTACCTTCATTTTGGTTTTTTAGCATCCACTTCTCTACCATTTAATGATCTTGGATTTCTGATGCCTGTCAGATTCTGATGTTGACTATATATTTTTAATATTATTCTTTCTTTCTTTTCTTTGTAAGCTGGTCTTGAGGTAATTTCTGCATTATTTATACTAGGTATATATCTAGATTGCATTAAAAGAGTTCACCAAGTTCCCCAAATAGTTATCATCTGCACAGAAAAAATTCTTAGAGTAGCCTAAAGGCTGAAGACGAAGTTCTGTCATTTAAAAATAGTATATTTTTTTTGGCTAAGGACTATACTTTACTATAAAGGAGTTCTTGCTTGTTAATACAAACACAGGCCTGGTTTTAAGGTAGTGTTTATTTATGGCATTTTTTATATCAAGGCTCTCTAAACTTCGCCTGTAATATACTCTACCATGATTTCACATAAAACTGTCTACCAGAAGAGATTGACATTAGTTATGAGAGCGAGTAGCAGCAGCTCTTTAGACATATAACTACTGTGCCATTTTGATGTAATTCAGTTTAAATTTCAAACATTTCTATTTAACATAATCAAGTGGTATGAAATCTTCTTTTAAAATGGCAAGTATACAGTACCAGCTCAATTGGCACTTAGCAACGGTCCTTTTGCAATATGCACAATAGCTTCCAGCAGGGAGTTTTTTAAGGACCATCCTTTGAGAGCACAAACTCACACACGTACAATCAGGACACATCAAGGTTCTATCTCCAGCTCCCCTTGAGATGTTATTTAGCTAATGCACAAATGTTACAGCTAAGCTGTTAGCCTGAAAAATAGAACAAGCAGTTGTGTGCAGGTACAACCATTTCTTTCTTCATTCCAGGATATCTTCATATTATAATTCCACATAAAGTAACACCTAGGAAGGTGTAGCGTGTGATTTTTACTCAATAGGTGGATTTCCACTTTTAAATGCCCCACAGCCGTCAAATGCCCCTTCTTGAATCCTGTATTATGCAGTGGCAAAGCATCTTTGAGTGGATATACAGCTGCAGTCATTACTGGGTATGCTCTAGTCAGAGTATTCTGGAAAGACATAGCTTTGTCACAGGCTGCCATCACCAGTAAATACTGCTGTGTGCATAGCTGTTCTGTATCCAATGAAAAGAAAAGATCTGGCCCGCAGCTAGGTTTCCTTGAGAGAGTCAAATCCTGGCAAACAAGCCCCTTGTTTCAACTGCAAGCTTCCCATGCTTATTGGTTGGCTTCCAGAAACTGTGCTGAACCATATAATAAGTTCAAATTTCATTAAGCCCGGGAGCAGAGGGAGTTTCTAGCATGCTGCTAAAATCATGGCATAATGCTCTGAACCATATGATTGCATTATAATCTCATTCCAGTTGGGATCTTCTTTTCCTAATAGAAGGCTTTTACATTCAAGATAGGAAAGTAAGAGGGACTCCAACACTGAAGTCTGCAATGCAGTTACTAAATATATTGCTTAGATATTTTGCACATGGAAAGAGATGATGACATTAATATTACTGCAGTAATGCTGGCTTGAGTGTAAGACTCCAGAATTGGCTGGAATTCTGTTCGTATGGAAAGCTGCAACAACAGCACGACAACATGATGAAAGCACAGAAGGCTATGTTTGCCTGATGACAAACTTCTTTTTTCCAAAGTAATAAGAAATATGATGCTCAGTCAAATTTTTTATATCACATGCATCTCAAAATAAAGTACAAAGGTGTTAAAAAAGAAAGCAAAAATGGGAATATATTTTTTAGATAATATGAACCTATATGAGGGGAGAACGTTGTTGTACACAGGGGACAACAAATTTTCAGTGTAATGGACTCTAAAAAGATGCTCTTTGTTAGGGTCTGACCATGATATCTGTGGAAAAGCCTTAAAATTAGTGAAAGCAAGAATAAATTTTTTGTTTATTTGGAATTATGATCATGGAAAATGTAGGTATGAGTTAGTGAAAAGAACTTGTGAAATCATGTTGTATCTTTTCTGTTTGATCAGATGGGAAAAATATATATATATATATTTTTTTTTTTCCCAGTCAAAACATTCACTTAGATGTGTTCTAATTGCTGTGGTTTGATTTACCCAATTTGAAGCAAGAAATATAGTTTTGTTTAGAAAGGAGATCTTAAAAAATTCTGTAAGCAAAACTGAACATTTTGTGGCTCAGATTTTTTTTTTTTTAAACCTGCAGAAGCCTATGTATGTAAATGAATGTAACTGTAATGTAAAGTAACATAACTCAATGTAACTGAAACTTACATTGTTTCAGTTTTGGATCAAAGTAATACATACTGTCTTAAATTTTTCAGTTCAGACAGTGAATTAAAGGATCAGTGATGTGCATTTCTCAGACTGTAAGTGCTATTATAAGCTTCAGTTGGATTAGGATCCTCCTCTTAATCCAGTCTATTAAAAATCCCTGTGTTCTAAATCTGCATTATTTGCCTGCTGAAGAGCAAAGAAGAAGGTGGTTTTTATTTTTTTTTTAATTTTTAATTTAAATAAAACTATCATATACTCCAGGGATTGGTGATAGTCTATAATATTTTGGGTTGGACCATTCTGACTACTCAGGCAAAGGAACATCTGACATCAGAGACAATTTTTTGTATGGACATCTTGAGGCCCAGATTCTGGTCTGAAGTGTAGTGCTGGACCATGAAGTTGACATATTATGTCCCCAGAGTTAGATAAGTTATAAAGATGGATGGTAAGAGTGCACAGTGGCCTGTGAGAAGTGCTGATGGTTGGTGGTGGCACACTGGTCACACCAGTTTGGCAATGGCTGTCTCTCCCCACAGGTGACGTGTGTAAGGCAAAAAGCAATACTGACACGCTGCGGTGCAAGAGCAAAAAGCTGTTTTTAAAATTCTGGTAAGAGTTTTCTCTTGGCCACTCTGGTTGCCTAGGTAAATGTAACTGGCAAAGTCTGCTGGAGAATTTCCTTGTCTCAAGGTCCAATATTTAATTTTCATTATTTGTCTATGGGGTGGGTTTGCTTTTTGTTTTTTTTTTTCTCAAAAATCCTAAGTGTATCAGTCTACAAAAATTGGTGGCAAGTTGCAGATTGTCCCTTTCTGTTTTTTTTCTTTAACAGAATAATTTTATAATTGCAGCTGGTAAAAAAAAAAAAAATACTATATAACTAGCTCCAAACAATTTTTTTTGGCTATTGTACCGAAAAGGACTTACTAATCTTAAACTATTAAAAAAATCATCTGGGCAGACAAACTTGCCTGCCAAGTTTTAGGTGGCTGGGATCCAGAGTGACTGAGACATTAAATGTGAAAACTAAGTTCTTACAGTTGAAATGCCAAGCTATAACATCAGGCCCCTGATGCTATAACTTTTAAGAGAAATAAGTGGTGTAATACTGTGTATAATTATTTCACTCATGAGCAAAAGAACCTATTACTCATAAGCAGAACTTTAAGTAAGTTATAAAGGTATTTCTTGAGAAACATATGCCAATCATTTGACCAAACAAGACTGTGCTTTGCAGTTACATGTTACCGTTTTTTGGACTTGTTGTCTAGTACAAATCAAAAGATTTTGAAAGTCTATTGGTTGTGGCCTCAAGAGGTACTTCATAAACTTTTGTTTCTTAACATTAAATCAATTAGGGTATCACAACAGCAGTTTTCCTGCCAATTTAAACTTTTACTTTTTAATGAAGAATTTAAACCAGAAAACATAAGCATTCCTTGGGCTTGCTCTTTAGTAGGAAGTAAGTTTGAATTGGCACGGTGATTACTAAAGCTCTTCTTTCAAATCTTATTGAACCAAAACTGGAAATTCTGTTTAAATTTTTGTACTCATCTAAGAACATAAAATACCAAAAGACCAATAAACAAAATAATAAAAAATCTAAACAAATATATTTTACAACTTGGATTTTAGAGAAACAAGCTGCTTTTTCATTTCTTATTTATTAATTTTAAGTAAAATCATTCAGCCCTACCTCATAAGAGAAATTCCCCCTTTGTGGGTGATCTCAAATTTCTCTCAAAATATACAGCTACATAAAATGTACACAGAACATTTTATTCCTATACCTGCACCATCACAGGAAGATTACTTCCAGCCTCTGAAATAACTTTGCAGACTTCTGGGGTTTCTGTATATTTTATGTTGATGTGGTCCAGAAGAATCTTTGCTCAGTTCGAGTACATCTCCATGAGCTGGCTCTGTATATTTCTCTCAGGAGGGGAAGAGGAGGCACAAGAAACTTTGTAAAGCTCTGGAGCAACATGTGAAGAAATCTGCCTTCATTCTTCTCTCCTTCCATATAAACACTGAGTTTTCTGTACGTGTGTTTGGACCAAATGACTGAAACAGTCTGTGGGTGAGGACTATCACTCTAAGTTTTGATCTTTCAGATGTTTAAGTTGCTGACATCTGTGTGACTAATTCTGAGTCCTTTACAGAAGTTGTAGTGTTATCTAACCATGGATAAATTATGGTGTTGCCTACTGCAAATGAGCTGTCCTGGCTAGTAAACAGCTTGGTCCAGCTAATGCAGGAGCAGATGCCTGAGGCTGTGTTTATCTTGAGGCACTGGGCTTTATCATGTTGCAGACAAAAGCAGGAGGCCAGCTGAATTGCCTTGCCTCCGACAGGAGTTAGATACTTCAGTACCTTGAGAATTTGGTCTATTCAAGGCTTAAATTTAAACATATGCTTATATATTAATTGGCCTTGATGATGCTAGTCATATCACTTAAGAACAGACTTATTTTCAAAGGTTGTGAATTTTATAACTCTCATTTCTTTCTGTTACAGGAATCAGTGCTTCAAACAAGATGGCATTCTTGCTCAACTCTTTGTTCCCCTTCTATGAGATGATGAACTAGGGATATGCTGACAAAGTGTCTGGAGACCTTTGGGAACAAAGCTGAGGAAAATGGAGAAAAATTATTCGATTATGTGTATTTTTTTCAGATTTTTTTAAAAATTATTTTCAATACCTCTTCTAGTGAAGATTTAACAGAGTTGATGATGGTTCCACACACCTTTTTGTGAGAAGACTTGTAGTTCATAAAAAGAAAAAAAAAATATTGAGGAGAACATAACTGCTTTTGAAGATGGTGAATGGTGTGGATATGAGGAGCAGCTGAGATCACTTGGTTTGTTCAAAATGTTCTTCTCCCAGAGGGTGGTTGGCACTGGAACAGTCACTCCAGAGAAGTGGTCACAGCACCAAGCCTGACAGAGTTCAAGTAGTGTTTGGACAACACTCTCAGATACATGGTGGGATTTTTAGAATTGTCCTGTGCAGGGCCAGGAGTTGGACTCTGTGATCCTTTTGGGTCCTTTCCAGATATTTTATCATTCTGTGATTCACTGTAGTGCAACATAACTGCAGCAACATCTAAACTAACCCAGACATTCACACATACCTCCCTCAGAGCTCAGTCTTCACTGGAGCCATGCCTCCCAATTAACAACTATCACCTGCTCTGATTACCCGATATTCTGAATTAAAGAGGCTGACTTTCAAATCCTGTGTTATTATCAGACTCTTTCTGTGTTGAAATCACTGTTTGGACAGGCTTCACAAATCAAAGCATTGTGTAGCACTAGGTACATTTCTTTACATTCCAAGCAAGCAGAGGGAAGCTCTTGAGCTTCATGAAATGGAGTGAAACTGTCTTACTGAAACAGAATATGAGTGAGATTTTGACTCCCTAGCTGTCATGAGAGTCAAACACACTGAATCACCCAGGGAAGAGGTGGAGAATTTGGGGCAAATAGGTTCTTTGAAGAATGTATAAATAGAGCTTTATGCAGTGTATGTTCTCTGAAGAGCTAGGAGGTCCTCTTCCCTTCAGATTTTCCATGCTATTAGGAGAACAAAGGACCTTTTTCAGGGAGAGAACATAGCAATTTCATTTTTGAGGAATGGACACTGAGCACAATCAGTGCTTGAGAATGAGGCTGAATGTTCCAGACGATGACAGTGCCCTCACAGAACACGACTCTACACATAGAGCCCTGAGATCTACATGAATATGTAACTTGATAGCATCAGGTATCTATGCAGGTATATGCAGGAATGTATAGATACTCTGCAAAGAACTGCTTCTCTGCTTAGGTCCTGCATTGAAATTTCTTTTTACCTGTGAATGAATTAAGCACAAGACTGATCATGCAATGTAGACTATGAACTTGATGTTCAAAGCCAAGATGAAGAGTGCAAGAACAAGTTGAAATATTCGCTGAAGCATTTTTGTCAGCCAAACCCTGTAATATACTTACAGACTTACACCCCAAGGGAATAATTATTGCATACTTAAGATCATCACAGAAAGAGAAAAGAACATTTCTGTATTAAAGTCATTCCATTGCTGCATAATTTTCTAGCCAAACTGACATCCAAAATCTTCCAAGATAACCATGTCTCTAAATGGCTTCTCTTCTGAAATTTTCATTTGCATCTAACCTGTGGTGCCAAGAAGAAAAAGAGAACACAGCTGTCATTTGAAGGTTCACACCCCTTATCATTAACTACATTGACACCTGTGGCTAGCTTGGCTGTTTCCCCACTAATCCATGAGAAAACTAAACTTGGCCAACCTTCCACTCAGCGTGGTTTGTTCCCTCTACCTTTTCCATGCTGGCTTAAAATTCCTGACTGATGTGTAAATAATTTGGAGAAGCCTGGGTTCCTCACAAATCTGAATGAGAGTAAAGAAAAGGGGCAAGGAGGGAATGGCAAGCCAGCCACAAATACTGTTGTCTAAGGCTATAGAGCCACAGAGCAGGTGGCTTATGCTGTGGATGCCTTTGTGTCTCCTCATGCAGATGATTTGGTAGCACATGACTAAACCTTGAGTGCAGATACATGACTCCAGAGACATTTCCTCAGTTTATGGGGTGAGGGAAAAAAGCAGAAATTATATTTCAGAACATATTAGATATTTCTGAAATACTTGATGGTACATATACTGTGTGTTTAGTACATGCATTACGCCTCAAAGTATTCATGCATGTATATTTACTTTTATAATTTATAGACCAGTTACAACACCAAGCTCTCTTCCAGATGTCAAGAATAAAATTATATTTCACAGCTACTTTTACAACTGATAGTAAATCTAGCAGATGGTATGAGTACTGTGAAAGTTATCTGACCTTGAGCAAGAAGAAAACCCCACTGGAAAACTTCTATCTCAGAAATTATCAAGGTGTGCCTGCAAATGGTTGCTTATTTACAGCCAGACACTTTGGTTCTGCACTATGTTCCTTTTTAAAATGGAAGCTTAACTCAAAAATCTCAAAGCCAAAAATATTTTCTTTCCAAACCCATTGACTGAGGTGTGGGGCTGGCAGTTTTTGGGAAATTTCATGGTAGTTCTCCAAGAAGTGTATACATCAGCATTAAACAGCCACATCTTAATAAAAGACAAACATCAGGAGGAACACCAATGTTGTATTATGCAGCTTGCATTATACCACATGCCTGTGTTGCCCAAAAATGTTCCACATGGCTCTTTCACTTGTGAAAATGACACTTCAATGAGCCAGGAGGCTCTGCCAGTAGAAAAGAAACCAGTTAAGAGTACCAGAGGCCAACTGTTAGGACTAAAATTAGGAGAAACCACAAAAATAATCTATGGTGATTAGCCCACACTATACAAGGAGTTTTTCCAAGGCTATATGATGGTGCCAATGAATAATTGCAAATATTAAAGAGACGTGGATACAGTGAAAATTCTTGTGGTCTTTTAAATTTCCACTTGATTTCTTCAATTTTTGTCATACAAGTAATGGTCATCAGTTGCTCTGTATTATCTTTACCATGCCACCCTCTTCCTCTGCAGCTGCTCTTCTCTGGCCTGCTTCCAATATATGAAATTGTTCCATACCTATGGTCACCATCATCAGCATTTATGTAACTATTCTTGTCCTATTTTAACCTTTTTGGGGCAGGGATGCACACAGTCTGAATAAAATAATTACTGATTTATACAGTGGCATAAAGATAGTGTTTTCTGAAGGTCATGAAAAAGGGCAAAACACTGATTCACCCTCTGTGGAGCAAAACAACTATTTCCACAGATAGAAATACTCATGAAAATGAGTATGAGTATCTCTCCTTCCAAAATATCAATAAGTAGAAAACCTTATTACAAAAAGAATATACATCTGCTAAAAGAAAAAAACCCTGACATCAAAAGCAATATACAGTCCTACAGTGAGAGCATAGGAAAAGCTGTGATATAAACCCTCAAATATTCCTAAGATCTCACAACTTCACATTCATTTCTCAAAATTTCCATAAGAGTAACACAGACTCTGATGCCAAACATTTACATTCATCTTCCATCAGATTCAATAGCTTAGGTTTAGCTGTAAATTCATTAGAGTTTCAAGCATTCAACTTCTGGAAAATATTTGGCCAGTTCTAGAACTTAACCCTGAAAACAGTAAAGTGAGCAAATGAGTCACTTTAAAGGAGGTTTTCAAGCATCTAATGGCAACCATGTGGGCCTCTGTACTAATGTCAATGTATCCTTTCTATAATCCACTGTTCAGCTCAAGCCTGAAATGGTGATGTAAGCTAAAGCCCTGTAATACTCTCATTCAGTGCATTAGAGAAAATCTTCAATAAACTGAGCTTTCCAAAATATCAAGGGTACAATGTATTCTTCCTAGAAATAAAATATTATATTTTTTCATCCTATAATTAAGTGAAATAAGTGTGGTGCCAAACAACTGAGTCCAAAGATACCTTCCTGTTATTTCAGTGACTTCCCAGTCCACCAGAGCTTTATTGTTGTGTTTATTGTGATGTCACAGGATTCTCTGGATGTGCGACCTTACCAGTGTATACTGCCCATGGCTACCTGTGCTGCTCTCTTCCTTTCTCTTTATCCCCAATGTAAGACTAACTTCCAAAAATAAAATGAAATATTTTGATTTATGGCAAAAAGGTTACTTAGAAAAGTCAGATATTAAATTGTTCAGTGGAATCTTTATCCTTTGATTATGCAGTTGGCTGAGCATAAGCATTTTGATTCACTTATTCCAATTTAACTCTCCATTGCAGCTGACCCAAAAGCTGACTTTTTCTATGCTTTGTATCCCTAGGAAAACAAAAATTTCATTGATACTTGTTAAAAAATTGCATAATATATGTTCAAGCTTTTGGTTTAGCAAAAAATGAAAACTAGAACAAAAGTCATGCAAATATATAAAGGCTTGATATATTCTCTTTCTGAAAACCAGTGATAAATTTTTTTTACTGCCACTTTAAATGAATTTGATCATTTCTGTAATATAGCAGACATGCACTATTCTGAAACTTTGTATTTAGCTTAATAACATTGCTTGAAAAGTAGTTACATTGTAATATTAGACCTGAATCCTTGCTCTTTAAAAAAATGTCTTAATTGCCCTATTTCTGTATTTTTTCTTTTGTTTTAAAGTTATATTTTATGGCTTCTGTTTTTCTTTATAAGCAGTTACTATTATATACTGTCAAGTAAACAAAAAGAAAAATGGCATAGATACCCTCTTATTGTGTCTTTTATATTCTCCACACTGCCTAATTTTTATAACCAGTACACCAGAAAAGAGTTTCTGCAAATTATCCAGTTTCAAATATAAACATACTCTGAAATCCAGTCCTCATGCATAGCGCATTTTAATACTTTACATCTTTGTTTCTACATTTAAGGAGCTGTTCTAAAATCTGGAACTCTAAATATATCTTAAACTTCTGTTTGTTTCAAAAAAGTCCAGTGAATTTGAGGTACAGGCTGACTTTTAACATCCATTTCTAAATTTACATCACTTCTGAGATTTTATAATGTATGTGTGCAAGAGAGACAAAGATAGAAAGGCAAAACGCATGCAAAAGAGAGTCTAGCTTGGCGGGCATTCCAAATTCTGTTTCTACATGACTTTGTTTTGCAGGGAAGCAATCAGAAAGATTAACCAAATTATAAACTTTCCTGAACACACAATATATTGTAGTATTTTGGTATTTTTCATAATCCCAGTATGATGTTACATAGTGCACAATAGCTCTGGGTTGAT